GTGTGTGTGTGTGTGTATGTGTGTGGTGGGTTTATCATAACTACTTTTAATTCAAGATAGGTCTTCCTCTCCTCTCAATGACAGTTCTAGGCTTTTGTAGCCAATGAAAATACCCAATAATTTTAATATTAGCTTAATCAAAATATGACTAACAAGGTATTCATGTTTAAAAGTTCATTAAATAAAAATTTTAAATTATTTGTGGCACAATAGTGAGAGTAATTGAAAATAATCAGATTTTATTCTCATCTTAACTGAAAGTTAACCTATGTAAATCAATTCAAAAACATTTTGTGAGAAATCATGGCATTTTCCTTAAAAAGAAATCTCTTATTTTTAAGGAGTCTGTATCAATTTTATGTCTATTGAATGGTACCATGTGCAAAGTTATACAAATAAAAAATATCTTGGAAATAATAACCGTTAATGTAAACTCGTTTCAGATAAGAATCAATAACAAGTAAGGATGCAGCAAATCTTCTGGCTGCCATGTTGCACAACACCCAAGGTTGTATTTATGCAACCTTCTAAGAGTCAGAAATTAATTCATGGAGAAGTCCTCTACTTCCTGGGGAAACCCATTGTTGGCTGTCCCCTATGTGAACACTGGTCTCTTCGCTCTCACTGAAGGTTTTAGCAGCTCCCCAAGGGTTCCCCAGAGTAATGGACATGACTTACTACACACTGCAATCTGTTAAAAAGTGATCCGTTTCTCATATATGGATAAACCAGGCAGAACTTCTCACTCTCTGTAAAATATGCAGCCAATTCCAGTATGTTTGGATGATGAAATCTTGAAACAAAAGATTTTTAAATCCATCAAATTGTTTATTCAAATAGGAAACGAACAACATTCTGGTTTGGGGATGGGGAATAGGTCTGAAGCAGAATATAAGTTTGGCCAAGGAAGAAATAATTTCACTGGACATATGTCACAGATTGGCTTTCAAATTGGTCTAAAGCATTCTAACAAATACTGGCCACATTGATCAACTGTGATCATGCAAATATAAATAAAATATCCAAATATAAGACAGAAAGTTTAAGAAATGGAGAGTTCTTAAGATTTGGGGTGTTGGGAACTTCACAAGAAATAGACAACAATATTTGATATTATTTTTATTAACATGAAACCAATATAAATTATTAAATAAATAAAGATAATGTAACTGAAATTATCCATTCCACTGCTTCAGGTAGACATAGGTAAGTAAAGCCACCAAAATAGAAGAGTACAGAAGATTTCTTTACATTCATCCATTTATCGAGTGCTACTATGTCAGGTCCTGTCCTAGGCATCAGTCACACAGCTAAAAGAGATATCCAATGTCTTCACAAAGTTTGTATTGTTATCTAAATCTATGTGACTAGTAATGTTTGATGAAGAAAAATATATCACTTCTTTAAGTCACAGAATTCTATGTCATTTTAATTTACATTTTTCAGACTCCTTTCCTTAAAAATCTATTTCTTGAGGGCATGTGTCATCACTGTGAAAACCAATGAAACCCAGGTAAAAACTATGAAATATAAAACATGTGAAATTCACCTACTGTGAACTCAGTTCAATTCAACAAGTATTTATTGAACACCTACTATGCAATATGCATGCTTGGGAATATTAAAATAAATAAAGCTATTTTTAAAATGGTTCTATTTATAAAGGCCTATTATTCATTTTTTTCAATAGCAAAATCTTGCTATAATATATATATACCTTCTGAGTCCTTCTATTTCTCTTTCCTCAAGGAAAGATGTGTGTGTATATACAAACATATACACATGAACAGAGAGAGACTTTTATTTTTAAATATATCAAAAACTTCTGTGACAAAATATCCCTGCACCTGCACTTGTTTTAGATTGGATCTATAAAATGAAAAGCAATGGGCTGAAAAGGAACTCAGCCGGTGTATCTGGTTGCTTAAACAGCTGATCTATGCCACTAGCTGGTTGATTCTCCTGCAATTTAAAATAATTTAATGAAATAGACATCTTTTGTAAAGCAGTAGATAGAAGACCTCATTTAGACACAGCCATGGCTCTGCTCTCTTGCTCACAGAGCATAAATGACCATCTGCTTATTTTTAAATATTACCGATCAAGCAGGAAAAATGGACAATTTAGAAGTTATTGAGGTATGGAACATGGAGATGCCATAGGGAATGATTGCGGATTTTAATTCTATGGACCCATCTCACCCATCCTTTCACTAAAAAATTTTAAATAATTATATAGAAGTGAAGATCAGCAGATCTGATACCTTTTAAAATCAATTCAACAGTATTTCTGAGTGCCTACCGCTTATAAAACATGCAAGGTACCATGAATGTGGTAGAAAAGACAGACCTGAACAACAGAAAAACTTGGGTTTGAATCTCTGGTCTTCTTTTTACTGGCTGTGTAAACTTGGTCAAGTTATTTAATCTCTATGATCTGAATTGTGTCTCCCAAAAATTCACATGTTGAAGTCCTACCCCCTAATCTGATAATGTTTGAAGATGAAGCCTTTGGGAGATAATGGGAGTTAGATGAGGTAATGAGGGTGGGGCCCCTCAGGATGGGATTAGTGCCCTTACAAGAAGAAACACCTCTCTCTCCACCATATGAGGACACAACATAGAGGTGGTCATCTGCAAGCCAGGAAGAAACCCCTCATCAGAAATCAAATCTGCCTTGATCTTGGACTTCCCAGCCTCTAGAACTGTGAAAAAATAAATTTCTGTTCTTTAAGCCAACCAATCTGTGGAAGTAGGTAAAACACCTGCTTCCTGAGATTCTTATTAAAATTAAATTAAAAGTTAAATATTTAGCCAAGTGCCAGATCCTCAGAAATTATTAGCTCTTATCACCTTCCTTGAGGAAGAAGAAAAAAAAAGGAATCAGAAACCACATTCTAAGGAGTTTACAATTCTATTTAAGGCGCAAGGATTACACAGTTCCCTTAAAATTAAACTAAAAAAACCTCTCCATAGGTGTCAGCTGAAATGTTACTTTTTCTAAGAAGCCTACTCTGCTGCTGCCCCTCTCCAAGTTACCATCTCCTCTCCCTTCAGAGCCGTACTTCCTCATCTTATCACTTAATTTACTAAAATTGTCTGTCTACGTATGTACTTCTCTTAATCCCACTCCAAACATCTTAGCTACTACATTCTAAAAAGAGAAGGCTTCATTTGACTTATTCATTAGTAAATGTCTGAGGAGAGGGAGACCATCTACATAAAAACCATTTCCACATGGTAAAATTAGAATAAGCAAAGACAAATGACAGTTTGGTAAAAATTATTTTTATCTCACAGCATAAAAATGGGTTAATTTTTCTAATCTATAAAATGTTCTTATAAACCACTAAGAAAAATACCCAACAGCTTAATTTAAAAATGAGCAAAGGATATTATCAGATATTTCATAGAAAAGAGAATATATTTCTTAATACGTGGAAAGATTTGCTATCAATAGAAAAAGAAATTTAACTACATTGAGAAACCATTTCCACCTAGCAGACTGGCAAAAATTAAAGTTAAAAATAAATGCTATGATGGCAAGACTGTGGGGAAATAGACAATCTTACATATGACTGATATAACTATAAATTGGTATAACCTGTTGGAGGACAACTTGGTAATATGTAATACACATAACCATTTGACCCTATAATTGTATTTATATAAATTTATCTTAGATATAATCAAACAGGTATGAAATAACGTATGTACAAGAATTTCTTTTGCAGCATTATTATTATTTTTTATTATTATTTATGCCTACAGAACCCGGTCTTCCTAGGTGGTCTCTCATCCAAGTACTAACCAGATCTGACCCTGCTTAGCTTCTGAGATTAGACATTGAGCTTGTTCAGGGTGGCATGGCTGTAGATCAGGGACTGTGGTTCCACTGGGGCACGAATCCAGGACCTTCTGTGTGTAAAGCAGACCTGCTAACCGCTACACTATGGAATCATGTCCTGCAGCATTATTTTTTAAAAATAAAAGATTATAAAATAATCTAAAAATCCATCAATAGAATGTTTAATTAAATTATAGTACAGCACACAATGGAATACTAAAATAAGCAAAGTGAACAAACTATGCTACCTCTTGTATGAGGAGAAGAAAATAAGAAAACAAAATACATATTTGCTTACACATAAAATACCTCTGTAAATATATATAAGATACAGATACAAATAACTTGGTTGCCTTTGAGGAAACCATTTGAGTGATTGGATAATAATAGTGGAAAAAAATATTTTCTTGGTTTACCCTTCTGTACTTTGAAATTATGAAATGCTTGAATTTATTATTTATTCATAAGCAAATAAACAAAGCTTAAATATAAAAAACTTCTTATTGTAATTTTGGTTTTAGTTTTTCATTGGCTAAATGACATATATTAAGTTTTTATGATTAGCCTCCAACATTTTAATTTCTGGTCCTGGGTATAAAAGGAAAAGAATTTATACCCCTCTCCTCAGTCACATAATGGTTTAGAAAATAACTAAAAATATTTGTAAAGGGTGATGAGTGAACTCTACAGGGTTAGGGGCATTCTATGATGCAGGCTGTACAGCTGCAGATACGAATATATATGAAAACAAAGTCATTTTAATTTGTCTCCAAGGATTCTCAGGCTCATGAACAAATTTCCAGAAAATAACATGTACATCAAAAGCACTTGTTTTCTTTGTCTAGATTCTCTTCCTGAAAGTGGTTATACTGATGAAACAATTTCTTGACTGAAATGTCTCTAAGGAAGGGGAAAATTGTAAAATATATATAATTCTAATGTTCTACAAATTATTTTATACTCTGCCATGTTAGTCACACATGATTTAACCCACTTTCCTGTGACAGTTTCTTGTTAAAATATATTCAAGCAAATTATGTAAATGTCCTATTTTTAAATGTATTCTAAGAAATATACTATAGCAGATGTCAAAAATTTACCCAATGTTCTAATATCCAGCTCACATTTATTAAATGCCAACCCATGCTAAACTCTGTGCTGTAGAATCAAAATGAAAAAGAAAAAAAACAGGCACAAAGGGAGAAATTCCAGACAAAATATACTCACAGTAGTAAGACTTCAAGCTCAGATAAAAATCTCTTCCACTGTTTCTTACATTGCAATTTTTTCTCCTAAATATCATACAGAAAAACAAGAAAACAATTAAGAAAAAGATTTCTGTTTCTGGGATTCTTAAGCCAGGGCCTATAGTCTCCCTCAAATTAGATGAACTTTTGGGGTATAAATGCAAATGAACATTTTTCTGGGGAGAGGATCCTTAGATTTAATCAGGTTTTCAAAAATCCGTTAAACCCCAAACAGATTTAGAACCACTGTTCTTGAATTAAAAGTTTTTCATGCAATATATCATGTTGCCATATTTGATATTCAAACTCACCATGTTTTGCATCAAATTCAAAAATATATGTATTCGAAGACAATCCTGTGACAGAAATTCCCCATTTGATTTCATAAATCCAGTTTGTGATAGCCGTATTTTGGTTAGAGGTGATTTCACTAATTTGGCTTTTGTGACTTGGGTCATTTGACATTGGTTCAAGCTTACCTTTGTGTTAATTTTGAAAAGATGGGCTTACTAAGCAAATGAAAACTATAACTTCTTACTTCAGAGGCGATTCAGAAGCTAGCTCAGTGCCTGACATAAATATTTATTGAATAAATTGATGAATTCAATAATATTGTCCTCAGCACCTACTCTGTACCTGTCACTGTTTTCGATGGCTTCATGCACCTTATGTCATTGCATGTCTCCGAAACTTGGGTTCCTAACTTGTACAATGAAAGAGTTAAATTAAGTGTGCTCCTAGATTCCATCAGCTGTAAGGTTCTATCACTTGCAAATTGCTAGACAGGGGAGTTTTTAGAGGTCTCTGTCTCAAGAATATAGGGAAGAAAATCCAATAAGAACTCCGGAATCTATTTTCCAAGTTAATTCAGGAAGTCAGAAACAGTAAGTAAGGCAGACCAATCATTTTCAAGGACATCTTTATGAGAATTCATATTTTTAAAAAAACCCTTGTTGTGGGATCCAAGTGGATCGCACCCATCACTAATACTCATTGTCACTTAACTTCCCTGAAGTCACAGCTTTCTTAATCTGAAAAATGTTTTAATTTTTTATTAGCTTTTGTGTTCATGCTAACCTAGCACTCTTGCTGCTGCTCGAAGTGTGATCTGGGCATGAAGAATATCAGTGCTACTGGGAGCTGGTACAAAAGGCTGAATCCCAGGTTACTGCCTAGATGTGCTGTCAGAATCTGCATGACAGGATCTCCAGGGGATACGGGTGCACCTATCTAACACATCTAGTACATTTCCCCACTGCAGTTTCTCTAAGAAAGGTTATTGCAATTAGTGTCCAATTTTAAAAAATGCTCTGTGGCTAAACCTTCATTAAATTATCTCATCTCTCCTGATAAGTGTGAATGTAGGGATGTGTGTATGTGAATGTGTGTAGGACTTTGTATAGTCTCTAGGTCTTTGGTAACTGTGTAACCTTCCGTCTTTTTACTTCTAGAGATTAGCAACTAAATTCATGAAAAAGGCATATGTGTTTCCTTCAGTTCATCCAACAAACATTTACTGAGCAACTACTATGGGCAAAGCCCTATAATAAGGAACTGGGATACAAAGATAAATAAGAGCTCTTTAAAGAAAACCAACTAGTCTATTGGGAGAGGCAGATAAAGAGATCAATATTGTGTGATAATGCTATGATGCTGTGGCTGTATGTAGGAGGGTCACCAAAACCATTCTGGAGGGGTCAGAGGCAATCAAGGAAATGATAACCGTGTCTGGTACAGAAAGGGAAGGAGATCTAGGGGCAATGACATCCCATTCTGATGCCAGACTCCTGGAAAGAAAACTCTCCAAAGGGAGTGTGAGTTGATGGTAGCTGAAGAGAAGAGGAAAGTAGATGGATGGAGCCTTTGGCAGAGGTATTCCTGGGGCTCAACTAAAAGAGAATGTACAAATGGGGCCAGGGACACACTGGCCCTAAGAAACGGTCTTCAGTTAGGCCGCCTCCAGAGCAACCATATTCTCTTGATTGGATGGTTTTCTACCACTACTTAGTTTCATTTCTTTATTAGACCATTCATCTTATCAGGAATTTTGAGATGTGTAGATAGAATCCGTGGACAAAATACAATTTGAAGAAATGGAGAAATCAGTTTAAAAATTTTTTTTAACAAGTCCCTGTAATCTAAACTGCAAAGTAAGATTCACCTTAGAGCTCTCCTCCTCCCTTATTTCCCTAGCCCTATCTAACATATCACTATATTTGGTGATAATATGGTCCGTATTATCTCATCTCTAGACATACTTTCTCCCTGCCATCCCCACTGTCTCTGCCCTGACTGACGGCAGTGGTTCTCCACACTGGCTACACATATGAACCACCTGGGAAGCCTTTAAAAATACCGACACCTGCCACCCCCCACCACTACTCTGACCTAACCAGATGCTAAGGGGCTCATTTTTTTTTTTTTTAATGCCTACAGCATCTGGTATTCCTACATGGTCTCCCATCCAAGAATCAGGCCCAATCCTGCTTAGCTTCTGAGATCAGATGAGATTGGGCACGATCAGATGAGATCAGGCACGTTCAGTGTGGCATAGCCGTAGATTAGGGGCTCATTTTTTAAGCTCCCTAGGAGATTCTAATATTAGGGTTGAGAACGTTGGTGTAAGCTCTACCCATTTCTTAGTTTACACTTCTGAAATATCCTTCTACCAGGTATTTTCACCTACAGTCTAAGTTCTTGCCGTCTTTCCTCCAATTCTTTTCCAACTTCCAGCCCATCATCTAACCTTCAATCAAAGTTATTTTTCAAAAACACAAATCTAGTTTTTTCACTCTCCCTCTTTAAAACCATCCATGGACTTAACCTATCTTTCCAGTATCATCTTCTGCCACTACCTTCTGTGGGCGCCAGGTCTGTCTGTGATCTAGGCCCACAGCTAGGGATAGGACCCCAGATTTAGAAAATATGTAAACATACTTCAGTTTATTGTATCACGCATATGTGGCTGAATGCCACTTTTGTACTCTGCTATGTGGGGAGCCACGTGGTCCGAGAGCAGGAGGAGAGAGGAGAAGGAGAGAGCAGAAGGGGAGCACAAGAAAGGGGAGAAGGAGAAGTGCACGCAAGACTGCGTGCCCCATGTAATAGACTGCACTCTCCAACAGAACTGTACTTCCCAACAGAAGTGCGTTCCTCACAATAAAGTTGGTGCCTGCCGCTTCATCCTCATGTCTGCCTCTTGTGCATTCTTCCAGCTGGGCCTCATACCTTTGAAACTTCCCTTCTGGGTCAGGTTCCCTGACCCTGACACCTTCCCACCCCCACACTAAACTCTACTCCACCAAGTGATCTATTGTTCATGAGTAAGATGCATGCTCTCATGCCTGCACCTCTAGGCCTTTGCGCCTGCTATTTATTCCCTTCAAAAAATACTTCTTCCTCACTGCCTGCCAAAATTCTACTCATCTTTCAAAATCCAGCTAAAAGGCCACTTCCTTTCATTCACTTTTCCATTTATTTATTGCAGAAATGTTTATTGAGTGGTTACTGTGTGCCAGGCACTCTTCTGGGTGCTGGACACACCCCTCCTCTGGCCATATTTTATCTGCTCTCATGACCTTTTAGACAAATCTCTGCTAAATTACTTCTCAACGCTGCAGTTCAATCTTTTCCTTAGCTGGCTGTTTCTGCCCCCGTAAGACTGTGAGCTGTGGCTGTTTCTGCCCCCGTAAGACTGTGAACTAGGCCTTATTCATCTTTGCATGCTCAGTACGCAGCCCATAGAAGGAGTTTAGAAAATGTTTACTGACTCTCAACTGACTGTGAAGAACATGAGCATCTATTTTGGGTGTACCTATCTCTTCTGGACTCCAGAGTTAGATCTCTCAATACTCTTTCTGCTTTACTGGCTGCAGTCACTCAGCTGTCTCCCAATTCCCTACTCTGAATGTTGTCTTGCTGCTCCTACTTGAAGCTTCCTCTTTCCCACCTCCTGAACTGTGATAGAAGACAATTTATAAAATAGTACAGAATGCCAGTCTGCGGCTTAACCTGTGAAGTTGCCTACATAGGACACTTCCAAAAAAAACCCTGAAATCATGAAAGTTGGAGCAGCCATGCACAATATGACCATCTTAAGCCAGGTCTCAAAGGTCCTACAAGTCTTTTCAGAGAAGTCTTTCTCATGCAATACATCTGGGGAGGGGAAGGATTTAGCTTCCACATGCCTGCAAAACAGGCATTAATTTCTCAGTCATTTCTCTACTCACCTGAAGTCATATATCTTATTTCCATTTATGAAATTTTATTTTCAAATATACCTCTTTTCAATGTTTAGGAAAAATGACACATTTTAATATGAAATATGATCAGATAAATGGACATCCTGTGATAGTAATTCTTCCCATACCTGTTTAAATAATTTAATGGCATATGTTTGGTTTTGGATCTCCACTCTGTACACCTCAAAAATCTCCCCTTCTCCAATTAGGAAGTCTTTGTGGAAGTTTTTGGTTCCTTCTATGATGTTTTGAAAGCTGATAGAGGATTTAAGCAATATTCCTTAGGAAAGAAAGTAGGGAGAAGATAGGTTACCTTTTCCATTATAAAGAACCAGGACTTCCATATTAGAAATACATCAGAGCCCAGTGGGAAGTCAGTCAAGTAAGGACCAGGAACCAGATTGAAGCCCACCATGTGCTCTCTGCTCATTTACTCAGGTCTGGCTGACACCCTTCCATAGAGCAAATGGCTTTTTAGTTATTTAAACAATAGCACTATGATTCTATCACCTTTCCAAAAGGATCAGCCAAAGAGCTTAGTTGGGAGAAACTTTCTCAAGATTCTATTTCTTTGTCATTAGAACTACGAACCTAAAAGCAGTAAAAGAAAAAAAAAAATCTACATTAGTGAAAATCTTGATATATCTAAACAACATTCTCCAAGCATAACTGATGGAAACATTTTTCATGAGCCAAATCCTCTAGATGCCTAACCTACTTCCTTAGAGTAATATGAAGATGCTTCAGCTTTTTAAAAAATCATCTAAAGCAGAGTTGGGAGAAAACATTTAAAAGGTAATTGAATACAAATTTAAAGGGAAAGCTTGACTAAATCTTTCAGAGCCCAGCTTTGGCTATTTTTCCACAGTTAATGTTTGAGGTAGACTTTATTGCTAAACCTTGAAGGACCAAAACTTTCTAATTATTTTTTGAACCAAAGAAACATCAGATATAGTGGAGAAAATTAGGCAAGGCAGCCTTAAGTAGCCATTAAAGTTTATCAGAATGATTCCCAGGTAGAACTAAATTATTCTCCCTGCAAATACAATAAGAAAGTTGATATGGAAAATAACTGGATTTTCATAGTCACTTTTAGAATTGTTCTACAAACATATCTAAAGATCTCTGCAAGTGCTATGAAAATTTCTGAAACTACATAAAACCCAACATAATATTTAAATGTTTTCCTATGACACATAAAAATAGCAAATTTCACTAACAGGAAATCAGGAATTCCCCTAAACAGAAAGACCACAATTATGTTCTTAATTGACCAATGGATTTCTAACATAACAATAATATATTATCCATCAGATCTGTGTCAGTCAAAATTGCAAATATTTCCATATCAATGAAAATTTTATCCTGAATCTGCATGTTAATGAATAGTTAATATGTTTATTGGATATATCTCCCTCTAAATTCACTTAAAGGAAAACATAATTTAAAAAGAAGTTGGGGTGTTTATTTTTTTTACCTTTTTTATTATGTTCAGGAATAAGAACATTATCCACTGTGACATTGGCTGTTTCCTAAGAGAAGAAGTACATATTAAAGTAATTCCATTTCATAAGTCTAGAAAGAACAGTACCTTAACAGAAATATAAAGCTCTCCCTGGGACTATACGGTTCAATAGAGTGAAATCAAATTTAGAACAAAGAGAAGTTATTTTATTTTGTTCAATAGTATTCATTGCCATATATGTTTAAGGCTTCCAGACCTACTGTAAAACTTCAAGTATCAATGTCATAGTTACAGTCAATTTTAAAGGACTTCTATTGCTATGAAAATGATCTCTGCTAATGTGCTTTAATAAAAACTAACAACAACATGCAAAACACCAACTAGAACAGGAAAATTAAAAGCTGAGTTAAGGTAAACACAAAGTCTCATCTCTGACAGATCACTGAGAGGAGAAAGCTCTTAACTCTTCAAATATATACAAATCTCTAATATTCCTAGTTCTCAATAAACAAAGAATAATGAGAGAGCTAAGACTTTTCTGTTTTTAAAAAAGTACCTGTAAGTCCATCATTTCTCTGTCCAATAATTTCATTCCTATGCTCAATTATGTATGTAACAGAGTTCAAGGGTCATTATCTATGCACAGACATTCTACCTTGGAGAACATATTCGGAAATCCATCTCCCTGATGACTCTGCTCTGAAGGATTCAAGGCTGCTCCTGAAAGAGAAATAAGGGGAGCTAGATACAAAAAAATTTTTTATGTTCCTAATAAACTTGTTTTTATTCTTAGACTGTGAAAATAAATACCTTGATAGTAATGTTCATTTCTGATGAAAATAAATACCTTGATAGTAATGTTCGGTTTCATTCCCATTGAATGGTTACAAATTTATATGTATGAATAGCTTTCTAATGATCAAATACTATACAAATATACTTTGGTTCACTTTAAACATGAATGCCTACCTTAAGTTAGTGTTAGATATTGTTAAAAATATTAAAGTATTAAGTAGAAAATTGAAAGAAAAAAGCAACACTGTTATCATCTTTTTGCACATATATTTTTTATAATTATGGGATTATATCTCCTTGTGTTAGTTTATTTTTTATTCCATCTTGTGCCATAAAGTATTAAGGATGATTGTGTGTGCATGTGTGCATGTGTGTGTATATGTTATCCACCACAAATACTCACCACTCCTCCTCAATTCTATACTATAACGTCTATCTGCTATAGTTCTGTCTGAACTGAGGTAGTCTATGTAGCTTCCTACAAAAGATAAAACCCTGCAAAATTCTGCAATCACTTCTGACATTTTAATTCAGACTTCAGAAAATTTTTATTTCATCTTCTAATTTTTCTTTGATTGTATTTCAGTTTTCTTATATTTTCCTTAGAAGACTGAAAACAAAACACAATCAATTGATAACAAATCCCCTTGAACAACACTATAAACCAATTAGATCTAACAGACATCTATAGAACATTCCATTAAAAAACAGAAGAATATACATGTAGTTCACAAGTGCACTTTGAACATTCTCTAGAATAGACCATAGGTTAGGCAATAAAATGAGCCTCGATAAATCGGGAAGAGTTGAAATCATACAAAGCATATTCTCAGACCACAGTGGAATTACAACAGAAATCAGTAAAAGAAGGACATTTGGGGGAATTTACAAATACATGGAAATTAAACAACAAACTCAAAAATAACCAATGAGTCAAAGAAGAAATCACAAGGGAAAATAAAAGATACTTTGAGATGAATAAAAATGAAAACACAACATATCAAAACTTACAGAATGCAACAAAAGCAGCACTTAAAAGAAAATTTATAGCTATAAATGCCTACTTAAAAAAAAAAGAAAAAAGAAATAGTGCAAATAACCTAAACTTACACCTTAAGGAACTAGAAAAAGATGAGTAAATTAAACTGAAGAAAGCAGAAGGAAGGAAAGAATTAAAATTAAAGTGGAAATAAATGAAACAAAGAATAGAAAAACAAAAAGAGGAAAATCAATGAAACCAAAGTAGATTCTTTGAAAAGATCACAAAATTTTCTTTAGTTAAACTAAACAGGAAAGAGGGAAACTCAAATTACTAAAACTGAAAACAAAACAAAAACAAAAGAGGAGACATAACTACCAACTTTACAGAAATAAAAAGAATTGTAAGAGATTTTGGAGGCTAAGCAAGGTCGGGCCTGGTTAGAACTTGGATGGGAGACCACCTAAGAAGACCAGGTGCTATAGGTGTTAAAAAAAAAAAAAAGAAAGAAAAGAAAAAGAATTGTAAGGGAATACTATGAACGACTGTATGAAAAAAAAATTACATCACTTAGATGACATAAACAGATTTCTGGAAAAACACAAATTACTGAAATTAACTCAAGAAGAAATAAACAATCTGAATGAACTTATAACAAGGACAGAGACTGAATTAATATTTTAAGACTTCCCACAAAGAAAAGAGCAGGTCTGGGTGGCTTCACTGGTGAATTATACCAACAATTAAAGAAGATTCTTTACCAATTCTACACAAATTCTTCCAAAATAGGAGGTATCAACTCCAAAATCATTCTATGAGGCCAATATTTTCCCAATACCAATGCCAGACAAAACATCATGAGAAAACCACAGACCAATATTCCTTATGTATATAGATGTGAAATCCTCTACAAAATATTTGCAGACCCAATCCAGAAACACATAAGAAGGATTACATACCATGACCATGTAGGATTCTCCCCAGAAATATAATATTGGCTTAATATCTGAAAGTCAATCAGTGGAATATACCATATTAATAGAATGAAGAACAAAACCCATAAAATCCAATAACCTATCATGGTAACAACCATAAGAATAGAAGAGAATTTCCTTAATTTGATATAGAGCATCTGTGAAAAGCCCATAGATAACATCACATAAAATCGTAAAAGACTAAATGTTTTTCCACTTTAGATGAGGAACAAGAAAAGATGTCCAGTCTTGCCAATTCTATTAAAAATTATGCTAAAGATTCTAGACAGGGAAATTGGACAAGAAAAAGAAATAATAAATATCTTAAATAAGATGTTGTTGTGTAGAATAAAATTTCAAGTTTGGAGCCTGTAAGGGCACTAAAAGTCACTGTCCTTTTGTCACATATAAAAAGAGAGGACAATACTTCACTGTCATATAAAATGGAAGATTCAAAATGGTTCTGCTAAGAAGCCATTTCATGCCCAAACTAAAAAACAATTGTTGATCATTGAAATATAAATGCAAAATGTGATATGTAAGGACCTGCATGCCAGAAATATGACAGCACTTAAATGTGGATACTTTTGAAGATTCACACTAATGTGACAGGTTTTCTTTGAAAAAAAAAGAAAAGAAATATAATGATAGCAAGTAAAGATTCTAGTCTTTTGAACAACTTATGTCTTGAGATCTGAGGGGATGTTTTATGGATGTGAAAAAAACCACCTAATGGCAGCCACCTGAATTGCAGGAATAATGAGTAGGAGGAAATATAAGACTTTCTCAGTAGGACTCATAAGAAAGTCTAAGTCTACAAAGTGATCTTAGGATGGTGGCAAATGAAAGGTAAAAATTTTCTCTAAAATAAAAACCATCCCATTAAACTGAACAATTTTAAGAAAAGGTAGGTAAAATGGATATTTGGATAAATAATGAATTATTTAGATAACTGATAACTCTGTCCATAATAGCAAGAAAGAAAGATGAATTAAAATGAAAATATAACATATCAATGTAATTTTTAATTAAGATCGCCAATTCCTAAATCAGTGAGTAGCTATCATAGGAGACAT